AAATGTAGAACCAAAATATATTTATGGACGGTGTTGAGGGTAAGTCCCGTAGATCCGAAAGCCCAACACGAACTTTGGATATATCAGGAATGGCCCAGAATCAATTGTGTATAAGAAAATATAAGATCTGAATTAACTAAAACTCGAAAACCCACTTGTATTAATTAACCAATCTGAACAAAGGATTTCCCGATCAGTAAGTCGGAAACTATGCTTTAATACAAGAAATAAGAGCAAATGATGCTATTTTAGAGCTTGAGTATCGAAAATCTAACCCTTACAATGACTTGAAACCTTCTACTTATACTAATGGAGAGCATGGGCTGCCTCTTGCTGATTGGCCGTTGTTCCACCGACTTGGTCATCCATGCTTCCACTTGTTGATGTCATAGTCTGGCATTAACTGCACCTGGCCACTTGCTGGTTGACCGTTGCTCGAACGGGATGTTGGTCCGTACTGAAGATGCTGTCAAATTGGCCCAAGTATGATATATAGCCCGAACCTCGTTCGGTATGTCTTCTTATTGGGCCAACCTTTATTTGGGCCGAACCCCGTTCGGTATGTCTCCTTACTGGATCTTTTCATCATGGAGTGATGGGCCTGTTACTTGGGCCGGATACCTTGGGCCTTCCCGATCTGGGTATTGGGCCTCTAGGTCAATATCCCAACACAAGTCCCCCACTTCCGATGTCTCGAATGAAGTGAGTGCATCAGGAAGTATACCAATGTCATAATACCCCGAATGGCGATCGGGGTACAGAAGTAATCAGTTCCCCATGCTGCGATTTGACGGCTGCCGCTTCAGTTCCCCATATTCATCATGATAACCGTCGTTTAGTCTTTTCATTAGACGCGTGTCTAGCTTAAATGCCCCTAGTGATGTGTCGCTCTCTGATTGGTTCTCGACACGGCGGTTTCAAGGCTATAAATTAGCCCTTAATTCCTCAATTCCGGGTTTCGACTCTGCAATTCCTTGGCCTTCGTTGTTTCCTCTGCAAATTTCCCCCTACTTCCCTTGCTCAGGTAACTTCCTAACCTTGGATTCCCCATCTTCATTTCTGGCTTCGATCGAGATGAGCCCCACAGAGCATTCTTCTGATTCGGAGATGGCCTCTCATGGGGATGACCGTGACACCGCCATGGTAGATGCCATCCCAGTTCCGTTTGCCGGTGTTTCTACCGAGACGGCGACGAATACCAGGGCTGAGGCGGAGGACCTCCCTAACACTTCTTCTTCCTCCAGTGAGGATTCTGATGACACCAAATCTGAGGACGAATTGGCCTCCATGGCGGCCGGACGTCCCAACGATGTTCCTCGCCATACTCTTGACCTAAAATTGATTAGGGAGAGGAGGCAAAAATTGACCTCTCACAATAGGGCCGAAATTCTGGCCCTTATCCCTGACCCGGTGGATTTCCGTTTGCAAGTCGGGCTTCATCCAATGCGTCATAGGCCCGGAATGACCATAGTCCACTTTGACTCAATTAGGGCCGGCCTTAGATTTCCGCTACACCCTTTCTTTATTTCTTTCTTCAATTTCTACGAAATTGTACCGGCCCAGATTATGCCGAACTCTTATCGAGCAATGGCGGGTTTCATTTGTCATTGCAAAGATGCCGGCGCCCGACCAACCCTAGAACTCTTCCACCAGTTTTTCAAAGTAGCCCCCCAACAGACCGATGGCTATTTGGCCACTAGTGCCCGAACGGGACACATCCTGTTCAAAGGAAACCCAACTTCGATCAAAGGGTGGAAAGACCGGTTTTTCTTCGTGTCCATCCCGGACGGTTTGATTCCCCACAAGTGGAATGCTTTTCCCCGCAAAACCCCTGATCCTGTCCTGACTGAAGAAATCTACAAGGACGTGCTCGCTGTGGAGAAGGATAAATGCATGGACATCATGAATTATCTGACCCCCGAACGACTTATAACAGCCGGGATAGGTACTGCCCGTTCTCTTGGGTTTACTTGTTTTGATAAACCAAGTGCCTTGGTCCGGGCGGTCCTTCCCGTGCGAGAAACATTCCTTTATTCTTTTTTCTAGTTTCTCACACGCTAGGGCCGCTCGATACTAACATTGTTCTTTGCCTTTTTTTAGCACCCAACCCAGATCTTCCCATGGATGATAGCAGAGTCATCGCAGCCGGTGGGGGCGGAAAGCGGAAAAAATCCCGGAAGAACCCCCAACCTACTCTCACCATTGTTCCCGCTCAGGAGGCTGCCCCTTCTCAACCGCTCCCAGAACCTCAGCCAATTCAGCAGGTCCACCAGGATCAACTAGAGGCCATGCTGCTTGATGATCGGTTCGGTTCTGACCAACTGCACCAATTTTCCCAGCATTTCGACTCCGTTCGGGGGGAATCCTCGAATGCTGGTGAGACCCATACCGACCACATTACGGGTCAGGTCGAGCGAATCTCCCTATCCGACCCTGTTCATGAGGTTTTAGAGAGGGCTGGATCTACAGCGAGCCAGATCTGGTCTACCTCCTCCTGGTTTAACAACTTTTCCCTCCCTCAGTTGCCGGTCGAGCAATCTGAGGAATGTTTGGCTCTGACTGCTCTGAAGGTACGTTGTCTTTTGCGCTTTGTCTTAATTTTATTCTCTGTAACCAGTACTAATTCTCGAACGGTATTCTGTAGATGGGCTTGTACACCCTTCAGATGCGGGAGGCCCGCCTGGCCAAAGAGCGGGAACTGATTGTTGCCCAGTCTTCTGCTGAGCAACATGCTGCTGCTGCCATCGCCTCTCTGGAGGCCGAACGGAAAACCTTTGCTGAGGAAAAGCAGAGGCTGGATGATGAAGTCGGTACCCTTCGGGTCCAACTCGCAGCTTCCCGGGAAAAGATCCTTGCCGCTGAGGCCGCACGGGTCAGATTCGAAGAACTGCCATCCAGTATCCCGGACGGTCCTTATGAAGTGAACGTGGATCTGTCCGCCGTCCGGGACATGGTTAAATCCTCCGATGAATTCTCCATCATCAAGGATGATCATGCAAGGGCCCAAATCCTGTTCGCCTTTGGGGCGTATTTGAAGGATTTCCCCAAAGGCGCCGGTCGGCTATCGGCTGGGGTGGCCCTCTTGGATAAGGACCCGGAGGCCAAGAAATGGAACGACTCCATTGTCTCCGATCTTTATGGCAAAATTGGCCAGGTCTTGCTGCGTCCCTTCATCACTCAGCTTCAAAATCAACTGGGGAGACCGGTTCAGGCCTCTGATCTCCCCACAGATGACATCATCGAGGCGCAATTCGAGAAATATCTGCGAGCCCAGCAGCGGGAAGCTGATCGAGCTGCGGGAAAAGAGCCTGAACCCCCATCTGATGATGATGAGGATGAGGATGAAGAGGGAGATGACATGGCCCCCAGTCAATAATTCATATGTACTTTTTCATTACTTGTTGTAATTTTCTTTTTCTCTAAATAGCTTGTACTTCCCGGTCAGTAGAACCGACGAATATATATCCCTCTTTTGTCTGAAACTCTCTGTGCTGTCTTTTCTGTTTTTAATGCATGATGTACTCGTCATTCGGGATTCGGCCTGTTCTGTAGGACTTAGCAATTCCCTAACTTATTCCTTGCTCAAATATTCTTAATGCCGTTGATCGCCGTTCGGGCATTAGACAGTTCTGATAATTTAAAGGAAAAAACCCCTTCCCCCCGGCACTCAGCCGTTCGGGCTTCATACCAAATTTTAGGACTTAGCAGTTTTCCCGGTTTTCTTTGCGCCTGGATTTTTTCATAATATTGATAGCCGGTCGGGCTTCAGGTTGACATTTAGGCCTTAGCATTTTTCTTCCAGATGACCTTTTACAATACTGTTGGCCAGTCGGGCTTCAGGTTGATATTTAGGCCTTAGCATTTTTCTTCCAGATGACCTTTTACAATACTGTTGGCCGGTCGGGCTTCAGGTTGATATTTAGGACTTAGCATTTTTCTAAACAGCAAGCCCCTGTGACTTTTGCTAATCCTCTGTAAGCCCGTCCGGGGTACGTGCACAAAAAATGAAACATAAATGCCCCAATTTAATCGTAACCACCAAATGCCACGTGTTGCTCATGGATTAGGGAGTTGCGCGGTACTTTCCCTATTTATAGAGAGGTGCTTCCCCTAATTTCTCCTGCTGTTTTCTCATTTTTCTTTCGAGCTTTCTCTCTCTAGAATTCCTTTGCATACTCTCAAGCCTTCTCTCTCTAGAATTCCCAAATTTCCTCCAGCGTTTTTATGTACTACTCCTCTAGCTCAGAATCTGAAGAGATGCCTTTGATCCGCAAAAGCAAAACATCCGCTGGTAACCAGGCCGAAGGCTCTTCGTCCCAAACACCCAAACCCGCCAATACTCAGGTCAGCAAACATACCGAACAGCCGCAGGAGGATGGATGTCTGTCGGGAGATGACCTCCAGGTTTACAACAAGGGGATGCCCGAGCGGCCACCCCGCATTCCCCTACATTTCAATCGCATACGTAAACACAAACAACGTCTCCCAGAAGATGTTGAACGGCAACTTAGCCAGTTGTTGCCCCCACCAAGAGAATACTATGTCGGATTCATCCGGCACCCTATGAGGCACAGACCGGGGCACGTGCTAGTGCACCTCGATGCTCTGACTGCTGGACTTCGGTTCCCTCTCCACTCATTCATAGTGGAGTTCTTACGCCGGGTTGCTGTACTGCCCGCTCAGTTCGTGCCCAGCACCTACCGTATTCTGACAGGCTTCATTATCCGGTGCCACGAGTTGAGGATCACCCCGAGCGTCGATCTGTTCCTTTATCATTACTGCTATCAGCCGTACTGGACGACCGGGTACTTGAAGCTAGTAGCCCGTTCTGATCGTCAGCTGTTCACAGAGAACGTTACCCCGCAGGCTGACTGGGAAGAGCGGTTTTTGTTCGTTCGGGTAGGTGATTCTTTGCCATTCCCGGACCGGTGGAACGCATATCCCGTTCAGGATTCCCTGCCCAGGGTGGATGCCGTTCTACGCTCCCAGGCTGAGTCTCTGCGAATGGGAGGGACCAGAAGTCTTCGCAGCTTTGTCACTGCCTCGAGCATGTTATCTGCTGGAATTGGTAAGCATAGTAGGGTTTTAACCCGATCATCCTTCGCTCTCACAATTCAACTTTCTTATTTTTTATTTCTCTTTCTTGTAGGTGTGATCTCTCCCATACCCGTCCGGCGTTCTATCTCCTCTGCTAAAGGGAAAGAGAAGATGATAGCCGATCGTGATTCGGCGGAGCAAACCCGCAAAAAGCGCAAAGGAAATGATGGCGATCACCTGATCCCGATCGACCATGTGGTTGACTTGACCGGGCCGGAGGTTGAGCCCAAAAGATCAGTGCCTGCCAACAAACAAACTCCGGTTCTTACTGCCACACCGATCGATGATCGGATGTTTGTTGAGTTCTCAAATATGGGGCCCAGATCGGAAGGGAGGTATCTATTCGGGTTGATGCCATCTTCTATGTGGTGTCATACTGCGATCAAAGTTCCCCCGAGCTTCACTAACTTGACTCACTGGTCGGACCTTTTCGAAGCAGGTCACCAGGAAGCACTCAAGGTACATTTCAGTCCGACCCATACCTTTCTATTACTCATGCTTTACCTTTTCTGACTTTCATTGTAACCTTGTTTTCAGGCTGGCGTGTACTATCACAAAGCCTTTCTTGCTGCTGAGAAGGAGATGAAAGCCCTGGCCAATGATCGGGATGACGGCCAGGTCCTTCTTTCCGCCGCTCGGAAGTTAGCGACCGACCTCCAGGAGCAGGCCAAAGAGGGTGAGAAGGCAAAAGCTGCCCTGGCCGAGATGCAGGAGACGTCCCGTCGTCGCGACCGGGAGCTCAAAGAACTCCGGGCCAAGGTGCGGGCTGCTGAATCTGCTGGCATTAAATTTGATAAGGCTGTCGGAGATCATCTGCCCGAACCCTACACGGTCAATCCCTCTCAGATTGCTCAGCAATCGGTAGTGGATTTCCAACGGGGCAAGGCGCTGAACCTCGCTCTGGAGAATACGGCCCGGCAATTCCTAGGTCCTCACCTTGGCCAATTTTTGCGTGAGAGCTCAGATCCCATCAAGGCAGGGATCGACCTCCTGGACAGCACGCCGGAAGGGAAATCTTTCTTGGATGTCCTGACCGAGAAAACCGTAAAGCAAAGTCAGGACCTGCTTCTGGATAGGAATCTTGAACTGATTTTAGAGCGTTTCCCCAAGCCGTTCGATCCTGATGAACTAGGCTTCGATGATCTGTTCGGGAATACGTACGATCGCGTCATGGAAAAAAGATCCAAAGCAGCGTCTGACGATGCAGTGCAGGCAGGGAGCTCTCAGCCTACGTCCTCCCCGAACGGCGATCATCCATTAGTGTAGCCTTTCCTTATCTGTTGTCTTCTTTCTTGTATATTTGTTCTTGTATATTCCGGCTAGTAACGCCGAAGAATAAACTGGACTTTTTTCCTTTGTCTGTTGTACTTTTTCTATTCCTTTGATTTTTTGTCCACAATCTTTTCTACATGGCCGAACCTCACTCGGCTCATGTATCTTTATATCTGACACCTTTTCCGAACCCGTTTTGATCCCTTTTCCTGTTCGTGACGCACGGGTTCAAAACTCTTAGCTGAGGTGAATTCCTCCAAGCCGTTTTGATCGTGACCACAGGGTCAAACTCTCGGCCGGGATAGGGGCTCCCTCCAAGCTGTTAACACATTCGACATTCGGTCATCCGGAATGATTTCGCGTGTTAACAAGCTGAGGTGAGACTCTCTTCATAATTGTTCTGACACCTTCCCGAACCCGTTTTGATCCCTTTTCCTGTTCGTGACGCACGGGTTCAAAACTCTTAGCTGAGGTGAATTCCTCCAAGCCGTTTTGATCGTGACCACAGGGTCAAACTCTCGGCTGGGATAGGGGCTCCCTCCAAACTGCTAACCCGTTCGTCATTCGGTCATCCAGAATGATTTCATGCGTTAACAGGCTGAGGTGAGGCTCTCTCCCTTCCAAACCCATAATTCCGATGCATTCCGAACTGTTTTCTCTGGCTCGTATCATCCATATTAGGGGTCTGAGGTAACCCTTTTCGAACCGTAAGCAAGATCACCGAAGTTGGGTCATTTCTTACTTATAGCTAAAAGGGCGACTAGCTTCCAAGTCAAGTTTTATGACTGAGGCGAGATTTTTCAAAACCATAGTTCCGATTCCCCGAGCGACAATCCGTACCTTATCCGAACGTCGCTCGGTTAATCCATATCTTACAGTCTTGACACCATCTCCAAGCCGTTTTGATCCCTTTGCCCGTACGTAATTACAGGGTCGACTTTGGCTAAGTTGACGACTCAGCTCCCTCCAAGCTGTTAACCCGTTCGTCATTCGGTTATCCAGAATGATTCTACGTGTTAACAAGCTGAGGTGAGAATCACTGTCCTTCGAACTCCAGGCCATTTTGATCCCTTCATCAATGCGTAATTACAGGGTCAAAACTCTTGCTGAAATGTATGGCTCCCTCCAAACTGCTAATATGTTCGTCATTCGGTTGTCCAGAATCGATTCTCATATTAACCGCTGAGGTGAGACTATCTGAGCGTCAAACTCCCAGTCGTTGGCTGAGAATGACTTTCCTTCCATGGAATTAACCCGTTCGTCATTCGGTCATCCGGAATGATTGAGTTAACCATGGGCACCGATTTTCTGAGCCTCAATTCTTCAAGCTGTTTTTGATCCCTTTATTCTTACATAAATTTAGGGTCAAAAACTCTCTAAACTGAGAATTGATTTTCCTTCCATGGAATTAGCCCGTTCGTCATTCGGTCATCCGGAATGATCGAGTTAACCATGGGCACCGATTTTCTGAGCCTCAATTCTTCAAGCCGTTTTTGATCCCTTTATTCTTTCGTAATTCCAGGGTCAAAAACTCTCTAAACTGGGAATTGATTTTCCTTCCATGTTGTTAAACCGTTCGTCATTCGGTTATCCGGAATGATTGAGTTAACCATGGGCTGAGTTTGTGGAAGTTATGTCTCCCTCTCTATAATTTTTTTTTAGAGGTGGCAACAGCCGTTTTTACTGATAAAATCTCCTCAGATGCTCTACATTCCAGGTTCCTGCCGGTCGGCCTTCGGTATTTTGTAGGCCAAACATTCCTGAAGCATACTTCTTACATACTTGGTAGGGGCCTTCCCAATTTTGTGCCATTTTGCCCCCTTCGAGCGGTTTGCTTTTCTCTCTCTTTCTTAGCACCAGGTCCCCTACCTCGATTGAACGAACTTTAACCTGTTTATCAAAGTATCTTCTTGTGGCCCTGTGATATTCTTCCATTCGTGCCGCTGCCAGATCCCTTCTTTCTTCTATGAAATGCAATTCATCCCGTAGGTTATCTTCATTCGGTTCTGGGCTGTAATGCACCGTTCGGTGTGTGGGAACTAGGATCTCCGTTGGTACTTTGGCTTGAAAACCATAGGCAAGGGCAAACGGAGTCTCTCTCGTGGCCGTTCGGGGTGTGGTCCTGTAAGTCCACAGAATGTAATTCAACTGATCAGGCCATGATGAGGAGTATTCTTCCAGCTTCTTCTTCATGCCATCCGTGATGGTTCGGTTCATATTTTCTACCTGGCCATTTGCCTGAGGGTACGCGACGGATGCCCTGGAATGCTTCATCCCCCATTGACCAGGTAGTTCTCAAAATTCCGGCTCACGAACTGTCTTCCATTGTCAGTTATAATCTGTTCAGGGATTCCGAACCGGCAAATGATATTTTTCCAGACAAACTTCTGGCATTTAACATCTGTGATGCCGGCCAGTGGCTCGGCCTCTACCCATTTGGTGAAGTAATCTATCCCCACAATGATGTACTTGTTGTTTCCGGGTGCAGTAGGTAGAGGACCTAACAGGTCTATTCCCCATCTTGCAAATGGAAGGGCCACCGTCATTGGAGTGTAGAAAGTGGCAGGCCGTCCGGGAACCGGTGCGTATAATTGGCATACCTTACATTTCCTGGTATGCGCGAAGCAGTCCTGTTGGATAGTTGGCCAATAATATCCTTGCAAGATGATTTTTCTGGCCAGCGTCTTGGGCCCTTGGTGACTGGAACAGATACCTTCATGAATCTCTTCCATTACAGCTGCCGCTAGATCGGGTGGGAAGCATTTCAGATACGGCCCCCCAAATGTCTTTTTGTACAGCTGCCCGTCCACCAACTCGAACATGGAAGCCCTCCTCTGGATGCATTTTATTTGATAAGCAGGATTTTTATCTTGTGGGAGGGTTCCGTCTTTTAGGTAGTTGGTCATATCCACGACCCAGCTCGGGATGGCATAAGATATGGCCTCGATCTGGAGCACCATTATTGCTGGGGTTGCCAATGTTTCCCGATGGGCAAAACGTTGGATATGAGCCGGGATCTCCTGTGCCCGATCGTCGAACGCTGCATGCTCTAATTTGGACAGGATATCTGCTTCAGTATTTTCGATTCTGGATATCTGGTCGAGCACCACCTGTTCAAATTTACGTATCTGCTCCTCGACCATTTCCTTGTAGGCCTTCATCCTTTCTTCTTTGGCCTCAGCCGTGCCGTTCACTTGATGTACCACCAGTTGACTGTCCGATCTCACTTTTAACCGATCGGCGCCCAGGGCCCTTGCATACTTTAAACCAGCAATGAGAGCCTCATATTCAGCCTCATTGTTGGTCACCTTGAAATCAAAATGAATGGAATAATATGCTTTGAACCCCTCGGGCGATGTGATCACAGCTCCAGCTCCACAACCTTTGGCACTAGATGCTCCATCCACATACATTTCCCACCAGTTATCCAGCCCGTTGTTCTCTGAATCTTTTTCTGAGGGCCGGGCGGTACATTCTGCAATGAAATCTGCCAGGGCCTGCCCTTTGATAGTAGGCCGGGGTTTGAAATTTATCTCGTATTGCCCGATCAGGAGACTCCACTTGGTAATGCGCCCACTTGCCATAGGATTTCTCAAGATGGTGGCTAATGGATGGGTAGTATATACGGTTACCTTGTGGGTCTGGAAATACGGGGCCAGGCGTTTAATGGCAGCTATCAGGGCCAGTATATTCTTTTCTAGCAAGGTGTACCTGGTTTCCGGGCCGTTCAACGCCTTGCTCACAAAATAGATTGGCCGTTGAACGCCATCTTTTTCTTTCAGCAGTACCGTGCTTACGGCCAAGTCAGCTACAGCCAGGTACATATACAGATGTTCCCCTAGTTCGGGTTTTGTCAAGACCAGGGGGGAAGACAGATATGTCTTGAAATCCTCAAAGGCCGTTTGGCATTCGGCCGTCCACTCGAAAGGGTTGGCTTTCTTCATGATTTGGAAAAACGGGATAGCTCGATCGGCCAGTTTTGATAGGAATCTGCTCAGGGCTGCTAGCCGACCGGTCAATCTCTGTACTTCCTTGAGATTCCTCGGAGCCTCCATGTCCACAATGGCCTTTACTTTTTTTGGATTGGGCTCAATCCCCTTCTCGCTCATCATGTACCCCAAAAATTTGCCTCCTCTTACAGCAAACGCACATTTCTTGGGATTCAGCCTCATATTCGCCCTTTGCATTATCCCGAACACCTTTTCTATGTCCAGGACATGGTTTTCCTTCCTTTTGCTCTTGATCAGGATGTCATCAACGTAGGCTTCCATTGTGACACCCAGCACATCTTTAAACAGCATCCCGATCATCCTCTGGAAGGTTGCCATCGCGTTCTTTAATCCGAATGGCATGACGATGTAGCAGAACACGCCATCCGAAGTAATGAACGTCGTTTTCTCTGCATCGGCTGGGTGCATGAATATCTGATGATAACCCCGGAAAGCATCCATGAAGCTCAGTAACTCACACCCAGCAATCTCATCCACTAGCAGATCGATCCTCGGCACTGGGTAGGGATCCATGGGGC